TATTAGTTAAAAAAAAAAACTAGTCCTATTAAACTTAAATAGGGAGAGTAATTATCAAAAATAGCCATAAAAATAACATTGCAATTTTTTTTACCCTTAGATCGAATGCTGGTTTAGCAGTAAAATTGCCTTTCAAAAAAAATAAAGTTTAAGTTGTAAAATTGCTATAAAAAAAACATTTTTTAGTTGGAATTGTATATTTTGGGTAATTCAAGTTAGGAATTTATCAAAATACTTTAAAGAAAACTTTTTTCTTATCTTAATTCATTTAGGGTACTTTGATAATTTTGATACCCAAACTGCAGTAGTAGTTTTTTTTTTTTTTTTTACAATAGATAGCTTCGTGTCTTATGTTAATATCTGCTCTTGGTAAGGTTCGAATACTAATTAGGATACAATCCATCGGCAGTCCTGTTGAGCTGCATTGGCCACCAATGAGGCACAACAGGAGAATGCAAACTGCAAACTGCAAACTGCAGTAGTTTAGATAGAAGAAGAAGGCTCTCAAATTATTAATCTATCTTTTCATCTTGTTGTTTGATTTAAAAGAAAAGAAACGGATGGGAAGGAAGGAAAAATCATTAAAACCAATTAAATATATTTGTTGGGGCAACAAGTTAATTTGATTTGTTGAAATAAGACTCTCCCCTTCCTTCTCCTTCCCTCTACTTCCATCCAACCATGCAGGCTATCAATGTTTAATTTGGGAAAAAATTTCACTCATAAGTTTGCAATTCAAAATGCAATTTTGCATCGCAAATCCCTTTTTAAAATTAGGTTAAATGCTAATTTTGGTTCCTCAACTTTATAATATTGTACTTTTTTTACCCCTTAAGTATTTTTTGCACTTTTTTTATTTCTCAACTTTAAGAACTGCATAATTTTGGTCATTCCATCAATTTAGACCATTAATTTTGTCCACATGGCATTTTTGATATTTTTTTTTATGACATGAATGATACAACTTAAAAATGATGTTGAAATGGACAAAACTTTATGTAATGTCATATTCTTTTGAATCAAACGCTCCAAAATGCCCATCAAATGCATCCCACATTGCACTAGAAAGATTAAATAAAGGGATAAAATATCTATAAACACTAGAATGCTCTCTCATCTCTACTCCATCTACAACATCAATCTTAACCATATCTTTTTCTTCTCTTTTCTTAATGGAACCTTCTTCCTCAATCTATCTTCTTCCTCATTTTGTTCCAGTTGAGATTGAACCCAACAGAATTTGGGTTCTATGTCGTCAAACCCAATTGATGGGTTTCGTTGAAGTCACTTGCTAGGTTCATCCAAATCTCATCAAATAATAACCCCTCAATAAATAATGCCAATCAAACTCTAATCAAATTCCAACAAAAATGCAATCAAATTATAAATTAACTTCCAAATTTGCCAGGAATTGAGAGTAGAAACCGAAAGAAGAATGAAAAAAACATGGTGAACTTAACAAACCCAGCTCTAAAGAAGAATGGAAATCAAGAAAATCTAGTTCTAAACCCAATAGCTAGGTTCGATGAAACCCAACAGATCTGGGTTCGATGAAACCCAACAAATCTGGGTTTAGAGCTAGCAGCTAACCTAGCAAATCTAGGTTTGATGAAACCCAGCAGATTTAGGTTTCGACAAACCCAGTTGGGTTTCGTCAAACCCAGCATAGTTTGGTTTCGTTGAACCCAGCATAGTTTGGTTTCATTGAATCCAATAAAGTTGGGCTTTGATGAACCCAGCCAATCTGGGTTTGGTGGAACCCAACAAATCTGGGTTCAGTGGAACCATCAAACTCAGTTGCTAGGTTCTGTTCCACCAACCTAGAGGTAGGAAAGAAAGAAAGAGAAATAAAGAAGGGGAAGAACATGGATGTGAGGGTAATAATGTAATTTTGTTTGTTTTTATTTTTTATTAAAATATAAATATTCATTTACACGTGATGTTTTTATTTATCCATATAACATAATTATAAGATATATTATTGCTATGTCATCAAAAGAATTAAAAGAAAATGTCATATGAAATTATTTAACGACCATGTTACACTTAACTGATGGATGGACCAAAATTGTGTAATTTTTAGAATTAATAAATAAAAAAAGTCCAAAAAATAATCGAGAGATAAAAAAGTACAACATCATAAAGTTTAAAAACCAAAATTAACATTTAACCTTAAAACTAAAATAACGCTAGTTTTAAACCATCATAAAAACTATCATGCCAAACACTCCTAAAGCTAGAATGGAATTATTTTGAAATTGACTAATAAAGCTACATTGTTCAAATTATTACAAAATTAAGAATCTTAAATTCCTATTTTGGTCCCTCTACTTTGATAAAAGTCTCTTTTAGTCCTTCTACTTAAGAATATCATTTTTGGCTCCTAAAATTTGAAATCTAATCCCTTTTAGTCTCTTCGATAAGTTTTGAACATGTGACACGTTAGATAATAGAAATTTTAAAGTAGAATAACCAAAAAGGCTAAAAAGTGACTAAAAATAACCCCAATTTGATTTCTCTATTTTAGAAAAAAAGTTTCTTTTTAGTTCTTTTACTATGAAATTTTCATCATTTAATATCAAAACTTAATGAAAAGACTATTGCCATCATCTAATATCAAAACTTAATGAAACGATTAAAAAGAGTCAAATTTTAAACTTTAAAGACTAAAAAAAATTTTTTTTAAATAGAGGAACTAAAAAGAAATTTTTTACTAAAGGAAAGAGACTAAATTAGAGTTTTAACAAACTAAGAAATACAAAATTAAAGAGCAGAGAAATTTAAACTTTGACACTATTTTACATGGCCCTGATCCAATGGCTCTCCCAGTCCCAGCTATGTCATGTTCATCTTGCCATTCCTAATGGTTCATCACACCAATCCAATAGTTTAAACTTAAAACAATGGAGCACTTCACAACATACACTTAAGTGAATTCTATTCAATTGCAACTGGAGACACAAACGCTAGTGAACCCACAAGAAACAACTTCACTTCAAAATTTCAAAGGGCAAACCCCAGAAGATATGAAGACGTAGAAAACATATTTTAAATCTCAATGACAGACTGACAGTACCACAATTAGGAGATAAGTAACACAAAGCACAAAGCCTTTCATGTTGAGTTTTAGGCCGAAGGAAGAGAAAAAAAATCGTCTTTTCTACAATTCAGATTCTTTAAGCAAAATGCGATTACAGATCCAGCCTTAGGTCACGAACTATTTGTAAATTCACTCGTCATCTTTACTTTTGGACTTCTTTTTCTTCTTTTTTGTTTCACCAGCATCCTCAGCTACTTCATCTTTGCTCTTTTTCTTTTTTTTATTCTTGGCCGCACCATCCTGATCAGCATCAACGCCATTTACACCATTTGATCTTTCATCAGCTTTAGCTTGGTCCAGCTCATTCTCCAGCTTTCGTTTCTCCTTCTTCTTCTTCTTCTCTGATTTTGCATCCTCCAAAGCATCTCCATTTGTAGCAGCTGCTAGTTTATCCTCAGCCATAGCATCATCATCTTCTGTAGCTTTGGACTTCTTCTTCTTGCTTTTCTTCACTGAAGGTTCAATAGGTTGTGCTTCTTCCATTTCTGTGTCTGCATGCAATCGTGTTATACGGAGTTCTCAATGAAGAAAATAGGCTAACACATTCATGAAAAATTACATATCCACTAAAACTTGCCTCAGTAAAACAAGTATGACCTACAGAAATTATGGAATGCAAAAAGCTCCACTCCAAGTCCAAGAAGTGAGAGGCATGCTAAATTTTCAAAGGCCACACGGCCGAGTTTTAGAATTTATATAAAAATAAAATAACAATCATGAACTGCTCCAATACCTCTGCCCTGAGTACTTTCAATTGCAGATTTCATCACATCAATGTTTTTACGAGGTGCAACTCCCTTGTCATAAAAGTCAAGTCGCTCCTCAACTTGTTCACGGAGTTTCTCTCCAAACACAGTAGTACCCCTCTCTGAAACAAGACAGAATATTGATTAGGGAAAAAATAACAGCATATGAGAAACAGATATGAGAGAACTTATGTTATTAGAAAGGCTGTGATTACCAGCAAAACAGTCAATGCGAGATGCAATAGAACACTTATTTGCAAGATAACGAGCCATTCGGCCCTTGTTTCTTGCAGATGCCCGGCCAATAAAAGATGAATGGAAAATCAGTCCGTACTTTGGTGTGTTCCCCCGGGTTTTAAGTGCCCTGAAGACAGCAACAAGTAAGTGATATAGATGACTTGAAAAAAATAACAATCAGGTCACCAAAAAGAAAATATACCTTTTCAAATTAATAGCTTCACTCAAGTAAAATACAAATAAGAATTCTAGTTCCATGGTGGCCAAAATGTTAGTAATTATTAAATAAAATTCCAATGAGGCCCAAATAGTGTCAAAACGCAGAGGCCAACCTCCTTAGCATTGGGTCTCAAGCTTCATTTCTTGAGCAAAAACCTACTTTAGCCCTTTACCTTAATAAGTTTGTAGGTTTTAACTCCTTACCTTATACTATGACACTTTTAAGGTTTTAACCCCTCACCTTATAATATCATACTTTTAGCCCCTCACATATATGAATTAAAGAAAATAACCCTCACTTAACATCATATTATAACGTTCAATTAGTTCTGTTAGTTGACCATTAACTCTGTTAGTTGACTGTTAGTATCCGTTAGCATTTTGTTATGGAAAACATGAAATTTAAATTTAATTTTCTTTGTTAATTCTGCTAACGGAATGCTAACAAAACACTAACAGTCAACTAACAAAACTATTAGAACGTTATAACCTAACCTTAAGTAAGGGTTATTTTCTTCAATGCTAAAACCTACAAACTTATTAAGGTAAAGGGCTAAAATTAGGTTTTAGCCCATTCCTTGATGCTTCCCACAAATAAGAATTCTAGTTCCATGGTAGCCAAAATTTTAATTAATTTTTTATATACTTTTATTAATTTTAATTAACATTTAATATATTTTTGGGATAATAAAAGACAAAAAAAACCTATAGCTAAAGCACAATACAAAACAACACAGACAAATGAAGCCTTAATAATAATGCTTAATCAAATAAAAAACTACGAGCAGGCCCATGTGGGCTAAGCCACTAGTTTTAGTAATAATAAAGTCCAGCTTTCCATTCATTTCAAAAGTAGCTGTGTCAAATAGTAAGAATATTGGGTGATAAATAAAAAACCTGAAGAGTGCTTTCTCTGCACCAAGAATCTGAAGAGTGGAAGAGGGACACTTTGCCAAATTTGTGAGACTACCAGCATGAGAGATCAGCCGGGCTCCAACAACTTCACCGATCAAGGAGGCCAAATTTGGTGCAATATCATTCATCTTAGTTACAAGATAATCATATAGCTTCTTCCTATACTCAGAGAGATCCATTACCCTCTGAGCAAATTGCTGAACATTTATTAAATCAACTGGAGACAAGTCTTGTCCTGCAAAGCAGCCACAAAGGAAAAGGAAGGAGAACAAGATATCAGATGAGGTTGACATGAAATATAAATATAGGAGATCTGCTCCCATGGGGGTGTCTCAACAATTAAGAGATTGAGACTCCATCATCATATATACCAAATAAATAAATAGAGGAGACCTACCCATTGATGCTTTGCCAGCTTCCACAACTTCCTTCGCCTTATCCTCATCTCCTAGTATGTCAGTCATGGCAGGAATGTGCTCTTCAGACAACTTTGATTTGTCCTCTATTAGTTTAGCCACTCTAGCATAGAGATAGTTGTCATTGACAATCTTCACCAACTCTGGGAAATGCCAAGAGTACCATTCTCTGCATAAAGACATTAGAAGGGAACAATTACACACAAAAGAATAACTACTGTAAAGAAAGGATAGATTTTGGTAGGTAGAGCAATAACAAACCTCACTCTCATAGAGAAAGAATTGATATCCTTGTCAAGTGTATCAAGAAGGAAAATTGCTTGGATAACCATATTGTCAACTCGGTTAACATTGAACTTCACCTTAGCTCTACTGTAACTGTGCCCCAAGCCAAGCTGGGCTTTTTCCAAGTCTCCAGGCTACAAAATTTGAGAGGAAAGGACAAGAAGAAATAAGAAAGTATGCCCTTCTCTTCCTGAAGAAGGGAAAAGGTGCAACATAAAGAAATATGCAAACCTTTAGGTCCTTTATAAATCTATCAAAATGCAACCTCACACCACGAAGAAGCTCAAGTACAAAATCATTACTTTGGCATGGAATTTTAGTAGCCTCAAAGATGTGGGAACCAAGCTTAGGCTCAGCAACTCCCACACTAAATTTGGGCTTCTTTCCTTCCTTGACTTTTGGGAGATTCAATTCCAAAAAGCTCCTCAACTCATCAGTCATCAATCCTGGGAACCAAAATACAAGTATGCCAACAGTCAATCATCATGTTTAGTTCCTAAGCAAAGAAAGGATTTCCTATGGTAAATCCTGAAAAAATTGCTCTGTTTGGTAGTTAAAAATTGCAAACAAGAACAACTATAAATTATAAAAACCTCAGTTGTTAATTACATTGGACAGGCTCAGTTGGGAATGGAAAATTATGCAATACTAACAAGAAAATAAAAGAGGCATGCAATGACTGACATGAGAAAGATAAAGAAAACAGGAGCACTAGAAGTTAACAACACCTTACGCCTAAGAGCCAAGTTGACAGCCAAAAGAGAAGAAAAATATAAACAGTGCTGGACCAACTTTAACTACACTACCTATTCAAGTTTATGTGGTAAAGATTAAAACAATGTAAAAATACTGCAGATTACACAAAAGGCAAGGATGGCCTTCAAAATAACATGTCCCGAAACTGCTGTTAACTTCCCAAAATAATCAAGGTGGACTAGTAAACAATTTAATACAAGCTAAGAGAGTAAACCCAGATTCATTTAGGAAATGCTGCAATCAATCCTAATCTTGGCCCAGAAGGCACACAAAATACAACTCCTACCTGAAATATCAGCATCATAACACCAAGTAACACCACGCAAAATACAGAGAAATATATACACTTATACATTAGACCTTATAACCGACTTAGTTGCCGAAAGCTATTCAACTTGCTTAACCCCTTTTTGTTACTAAGTGAAAGGGAAACTCTTTGGAAATTCAAAAATCAAAGGAGTTAACTTTATCACCTTCAGACACAGAGTTGCATTGGTTGAGAGCATCCAGAGCCGACTCAAATGGGTGAAAAGCGGTGAGTTGAACCACCTTACCAAAACGGTTCAGATCTGAAACAGAGTTCCGAACGGCCTCCGTGTTCTGCCCTATTTCATCGAGCCCATGAGCCAGGAACAGGGCATAACCAGACGCCGACTCGTACAACAGATACAGAGCCATTAAAGAGGCTCCACAAATAGTTCAGGAAAACGGAGAAAAAGACAATCAACTGGCCGTACTTAAATTATGATACAAACCCACTTACTCAGAACGGAGTCAATTACCGGCGAGGAAGCGGAGAGTTAAATGGAATTTAGGGTTACAGAGATGTGGTGTCATGTAGAAAGTCATAAACATTAGGGTTTAAGCTTTTATAGGGTTTTGGATATATCTCGATTTTCAGACAAAAAGCCCATGGGCTTGAGTCCAGCATATGTCGGGCTGGGTTACCAACACTATACCGAGGAGGCAGAGCTTAGAACTTAGATTGCAAGTTTGCAACTCGTTTGATTATGAAAGAAATGATAGGGTGTGTTTGGTTTAATTGATTTTTTAAACTTTTTTTAAAATACCTTATTATGTTGTTTGGAAACGTTAATTATAGGTTGATATTAGTGTTTCCTCAAAATCCTGAACTTGGCCCAGTTAGTCATGTAAGTTTGGGTATAAACATGTCACTTGTTTGTTTAAAAACAAGAAAATCAGATTTTTTAAATGATCATTCTCCTTTTAATAGTCAACCTCCTAAAAGGATGGAAGGAAA